ATCATGGTTTTGCTAGGGGAAAGGGCGAGGGGGGGGTGTAGAGATGGGAGGGGCAGAGAGGGGGAGAATGGCCTCCAAGAGGTAATGTAAAGCCACTTCTCACACCCATTTCTCCCGCACACAAGCAGTATTTTACTGCAAGAGAGCCCTCCTGCAGCTCCCTCTCCCGCGCATTAAAAGCCCAGCCTGGGCTCCAACGTAGTCCCTGCCCTCCTCTGCCACAAGGGCCAGAGGCAGAACCCACAAAGCTTTTTGAGCCAGGCCATGTATCAGTTAAGGTCTCCCCTGGAGATTTCCCGGGGGTACTCTTCCTGTACCTACGGGGGTACAGGCACATGGATCTCCTCTGCACACAAGTCAAGGTGAGCTGTCGGCAGGACTCCGAGTTTTATCTATCCAGTGTTTCCCCAGGGTATCATTCTCAGACTTTTGCTCCAGGATGTGCCCAGTGAGAATCCTCCCCTCACCGAGAAGAGGGCGCTCTCAAGCACTGGCTTCACGTTTTAGTCACATAGAGTGAAAATGCACAAGGATGTGTCAGGCTGCAGGGGGAGAGAGGGATGGTGAGGGGAAAGGCAAGCCGACGGTGTATCCACCCTAAAGCTTTTATGTGCACTAGGACCAAGTCCCAGGTCCTGATGCCTTGCAGGGCTCAGCAATACCACCAGCAGCTTTCTGGACGTTGGACACACAAACCTCAGTGAGTCCGGAGACCTTCCGCAAGCTGCTGCCAGCCCTACACCCACAAACCTGGGGTGGTTTGCTGCCTGTTTTCCAGCCGCGCTGGTAAAATAATGGCAGCGCTCCCGTATGCATTTACGTTCACCTTCTGAAATTACCTGGTTTGTATTTCTCACGTGCTGTGTGCTCCTTTCTGCGGTCGTTGGAAAGCTCTGAAGGGAAGAAAATGAGCTCATCAGAAGCCAGAAGAGCTCATGCTTCTAGTCTGAGTAAAGTTAAGGCACACAAATCTTCCTCTGCACATAAAATGGGGAACCACCACAAGGATGTTACAGAAAAAAAAAAAAAAAATTGAAAATATGTGGAAGTCCAGTCAGGAGGATGTAGAGGTTACAGGGAAGTCCTGTACCTTGCCCCCACAGCACCACAGCCCCTCGTACAGCGTCGTGATGCCTCAGGGAGTATTCAACAGCCCAGCCGTGTACCAAGAGCTGGGTCACAACCTCAAATCACCCTCGGTCTCAGTCACAAGCAGCTCCCGAACCCCTCCCCGGCACTTACCTGCAGGGCTGTGCGGTGGGTTGGGATCCCGGGGCAGGGCGTGCGGGCAGGCGTCAGGGCCGACGCTGGGGCCTCACGTGGCCTGCCCTGACTCACAGCGAGCACAGCAGCGGCTCCGTGGGCTCCCCCCGGCCCCTGCTGGCGTGACGTGTCCGCCCTCGGCCTGTTCACGCACGAGGAGTTAGCACACAGTCAGCAACCCAAAAATCACAAGGGACTGGCCAGGGGTGGGAGAGAGAGGCCCTTGGCTTTTGCACGATTCTTCTGTTTGAGCGGGCTAAATAAATTGAAGGTGTACACCAGGATTTATTGCTTTTTGGAGAATTACGGATCTCCTCGGGTGCTGTTACCAGCAGCTCATGAAACTAAAGAGTGATTTTGAAGAACGTGTGTTTCAGCACATCTGTGTTCATGCCATTAGTGCAATTCCGCAGCCAGCACGGGGGATCAGCGTGGGGTCTGAGGACGCTCTCCCCACCCGCCACCCTGACCAGTCTTCTAGGAGCAACAAAACCTGCTCAAAATGAACGCCGCTTTTATTCCTCATCCTCTCCGTTTCCTGGGGTCCCTTCCCACCTCCATTCTTCGGGCCTCGCAGTAGGGCTGGAAGTGCCTCGTGGAGACAGAGCCGCAGGCAGGGAAAAGTGCACGTTCCCCGGGAAGCACAGGGAGCCCGAGGGACCATTCCCTGCTCCAGCTGCTCCTCCTTCTTGATACAGCCCCTTTCCTCAGCACTTTTGAGCCCGCAGAGGATGTCAATATTCAAATCCTCACCTTCTGTGGAGCTAGGGCAGCCAAAGCAGGTACCGCCATCATAGTTTTGCTAGGGGAAATGGCGAGGGGGGGGTGTAGAGATGGGAGGGGCAGAGAGGGGGAGAATGGCCTCCAAGAGGTAATGTAAAGCCACTTCTCACACCCATTTCTCCCGCACACAAGCAGTATTTTACTGCAAGAGAGCCCTCCTGCAGCTCCCTCTCCCGCGCATTAAAAGCCCAGCCTGGGCTCCAACGTAGTCCCTGCCCTCCTCTGCCACAAGGGCCAGAGGCAGAACCCACAAAGCTTTTTGAGCCAGGCCATGTATCAGTTAAGGTCTCCCCTGGAGATTTCCCGGGGGTACTCTTCCTGTACCTACGGGGGTACAGGCACATGGATCTCCTCTGCACACAAGTCAAGGTGAGCTGTCGGCAGGACTCCGAGTTTTATCTATCCAGTGTTTCCCCAGGGTATCATTCTCAGACTTTTGCTCCAGGATGTGCCCAGTGAGAATCCTCCCCTCACCGAGAAGAGGGCGCTCTCAAGCACTGGCTTCACGTTTTAGTCACATAGAGTGAAAATGCACAAGGATGTGTCAGGCTGCAGGGGGAGAGAGGGCTGGTGAGGGGAAAGGCAAGCCGACGGTGTATCCACCCTAAAGCTTTTATGTGCACTAGGACCAAGTCCCAGGTCCTGATGCCTTGCAGGGCTCAGCAATACCACCAGCAGCTTTCTGGACGTTGGACACACAAACCTCAGTGAGTCCGGAGACCTTCTGTACCCCCATAGCCTTCCCAGCTCACTGACCTGGCCTGACCAGCAAGCAATCACAGGCAAGCAGGGCTAATCTTCTCTTTGAGAGACAACTACTCCAGGTGGCTTCCACTGCTGTCAGTGCCTTGGCACCAAAATGCAAGCAGACACCATCTTATGGGATCTTTAAAGAAAAGCCCAGCTTTGCAAAGCTTTTAGGGACAAAGCACAGCTCTCCCTCAACAATTCAGCCATATCCTAACACATTCCTCCCCTGAGATCACCTCAGGTCTCTGAATAATTATCAGGTGATTGAACCTGCAAAAAAAAAAATTGAAAATATGTGGAAGTCCAGTCAGGAGGATGTAGAGGTTACAGGGAAGTCCTGTACCTTGCCCCCACAGCACCACAGCCCCTCGTACAGCGTCGTGATGCCTCAGGGAGTATTCAACAGCCCAGCCGTGTACCAAGAGCTGGGTCACAACCTCAAATCACCCTCGGTCTCAGTCACAAGCAGCTCCCGAACCCCTCCCCGGCACTTACCTGCAGGGCTGTGCGGTGGGTTGGGATCCCGGGGCAGGGCGTGCGGGCAGGCGTCAGGGCCGACGCTGGGGCCTCACGTGGCCTGCCCTGACTCACAGCGAGCACAGCAGCGGCTCCGTGGCCTCCCCCGGGCACCTGCGGTCGTGCTGCAGGCCTGGCGGGAGGAGCCGCCTGTTTTCCGTGTCCCTGAGCTCTGGGGAAGGCAGCCGAGGGCCAATCCCACAGGCGTGGGGGAGAGGTGCTGGGCAGCCTCCCGGCCTGTCCCAGGCACCGATGGGCCCCAGCGGCCCTGACCGGCCGGGACCCCCCCGCCCCTGCTCCAGCACAGCCCCTGGCTTGGGCTGCAGGCCTGGACCCGCTTATAGACCTGTCTGGGACACAAGCGGGAGTCCAGGGGCGTGGGGAACCCTCTCTCTGAGGGGAAAGGCCCTGGGGTCCCGCAAAGCCGAGTGGGGACGCCATGATGGCGGTCTGGAGGCCCAGGCACACTGCCCTCCCACGCAGAGCATCCCCGGGCTCAGGGAGGGAGGCGCGGGGCGGGGAACGCCCGTGCAGGGAGCAAGGAGACAGGTGGTTGTCGTACCACGCTCTCCTCAGGAACGGGACCTTACCAGCACGGGGCTCAGGTCAAGCCTTCTGGGCTGGGGAGCCCAGGAAGGGCCCCCGCCATCGTCCCTTCATGTCAGTAGGATTTGTGTTACATCCTGGTGTAAAAAGTTCCTTTTTCTCAGCAAGCATTGCCTCTGTCTAAGCATGACATTTGCTCAATTGAAAACGTGTGTGAAGAGCGATAGCTGGTGTCAGAGGAGACTGCTAGGGACATTCCACTAGCACAGCACGTCTATCGATTATACAAGGTGCAGTCATGTTAAGTCATTTGTCAAATTAAGCTAACGGTTTCACCCAGCGCGGTTGGTGCCAGAGGAGGGGGTGTGTGGAGCAGGTTGCGTACCCGCCCTCTGCTCTCCTCTCCTCTTCAGGTACTGATGCTTCTGGAGAGACTGGGACACAGATAAAGTAATGTATACTTCCTGCAGTAGGTATGCATTGGGTTTTTTTCTTTTCCTTTTGATTTTCGTTTGGGTTTTTTTCAAGCAGGCTGTTTCACTAGTTTTCCACAAGTGCCCTGTCTCACCTACCCCGATGTATTTAATTACATGTGATGTTTAACACTTAAAGCAGATAATACTCTGCATGTGCTTCTGCTGGGAGAATATTATCTGATTAATTAGAATGCGTTGTCATGTATTACGTGTGTTTATTTTGCCCTTGTTTGGCAACTTCCTTAGTTAGGAGGACAGTGATTTACTCTTTGTGTGCTGGGAAAATTGCTTCTGGGAGGGGTTTAGAGACACACGACACGTGCTGAGGAGCTCTTATGCTTGACACCAATCGGGTACGGTGTGTGCGCACAGATTTGTCACAGACGCAGGTTGCATGAGAAATGTGGAAACACTCCTACGTGAGTGCAGGAGGGGCCCAGCGATGTGCATATTCAGAGTAGTAATTACCCATTTAGTCACCACATTTCTGTTGTCATGACTCCCATGACACCTCTTGCCCTACCCTGACTTCTATCCAAAGGGCTGGTTAAATTTATCTCTCTCTTCTGTGCTTTCACTTACTTGCTGGTTTTTTTCTTTAAACATAGTCCGCTTAAACAATTGTTGTGAAGAATGAGGAACTGAGGGAAGAAAGAATATGCCTCCATGTCACTTGCGTTTTGCAGGCTACAGGTAGTTTACAGCTACTTTTCTGGTTTTAAACTCTGAACACCTTTGAGAGAGAGAGAGGGGGGAGAAAAGCAACAAGTACAACCCACTCCTCTAACCCTCCAGACTATCACTGAACTAATAACACCCTCTGTCGCGAATGCTGATTTAGGATCCTGCTGACTATGTTAATTTGTCACGACTGAGTGACTTCACGGTTTGATTTAGTAGCAGTTCAGAATTCACCTGTGGCAAATCGTAGGACTTGACTGTGATATTTTAATAGCACTCAATCCTCAGTCAATTAACAACGTGATTAGACAAAATTAATCAAAACAGCCTTAGTTTAACAGACTTAGTTAAAGGTTCAAAGATGGCAAGGTTCACTCTATTACTACATGGAAGAAGTACACAAAGGAAAATTAAGCTACACGCAAGTTAGAATGATTCACAGAGAGATCGTGCATGCAGGGGATAAGGAGGACCTTCCCATTAAGTCATGAGGTTCAGAATAGATAGCCCCCCTTGCTTTCTAAACTCCTTCTCGGAGAGGAGTCTGAGTGCAGCTCGGTCCAATCTTAGTCTCAGACTTGGTCAACGGTTTATATCCTAGGATATTTTATATATATATATATATATATTTTATATATATATATATGTATCTAGTAGCACTGTAAGTCTCACTTTGCAATTAAATCATACACTTACAAACTACTTAAATGAATTCACACATGCATACACACAGACAGGAAGATACATCTATAGATATAAAAAGGTATACCTGGTAAAAATTCCCCTCGAGTTCAGTGAAATACTCACATCAGATGTCTTGGTATTTCTCAAGGGGCAAGGGTTGAGCCTCAAGCAGTGAAAGGTTTCAGCCCAGGCTCCACTGTCGGTCTTCAGCGATGGACCTCCGATTTTAGCAAACTTAAGAGTTTGCTAGCGCTGGGAGGCGTCCCACTCAGAGGGAGATGCTGGTTGCAGCCCGCTGTGGTCCAGGAGAGCTCAAAGGGCCTCACTGAGGACCGCTGTTTTGTAGGATCGTGAGATGATTGGCTTTAGTCATCAGTAAATTTCCAGTCCAGGCCACAATCTGGGTCGATAATGACCATGGTACCGCACCACTTGGGCTACGATTCAGATAAGGTTTGTTCCGAGGCTATCAGGGGCTAACCGAGTGTTCCCATTCTCACTCCCTGCCTCAGCCATGTAGGATTTTCTGGTGCGGACAGTGCCACCTAATCAGCCAGCTCCTTACACCAAGGCCAAGGTCTGACGGGAGTTTCTGAAATCGTAAAGTGGTCCAGCAGAAAAGAGGAGCGGGGGATGCACCACCGC